GCTCACCTGAGGTCAGGAGTTCAAGGCCAGCCCGGTCAACATGGTGAAACCCCATCTCTACTAAAAATACAAAAAAATTAGCCGGCCGTGGTGGTGGGTGTCTGTAATCCCAGCTACTTGGGAGGCTGAGGCAGGAGAATTGCTTGAGCCCAGGAAGTTGCAGTGAGCTGAGGTTGCGCCACTGCACTCCAGCCTGGCACCTGGTGACGGAGTGAGACTCTGTCTCAAAAATAAATAAAAATTAAAAAACAAAACAAAACAAATTAATGTTTTTAATTTTAAACATTAATAATAGAACATAATTTAGAATTGCTGAGGTGAGAGAATTATCTCTACTAAAAATACAAAAATTAGCAGGGCATGGTAGTGGGCGCCTGTAATCCCAACTACTTGGGAGGCTGAGGCAAGATAATCGCTTGAACCCGGGAGGCGGAGGTTGCAGTGAGTCAAGATCCCATCACCGCACTTCATCCTGGCAGCAGAACGAGACTCGTCTCAAAAAAACAAAAAACAAAAAAGCATAAAGACTACATGGACACAATGTAAATTTATAAACTAGAGTAAGTAGGGATTCACCAATAAAACTAGCATTGAAGGGCTCCCCAAAGAAATAAGCAATATTTTAGAAAAAATAGTAGTGCTGTACACAATTGCTTTATTCATGCAACTACATTTATATATTTCCCATATTTGAGGTAAGTTCAAATTTCAGAGCCAAATTGGTGTAAAACAGCAGACAACGATGGAGATTTGTTATCTGCAGAAATAACCCTAAAGGAAGGTATAACATACAGTATATCTTTAAGAAAACATGAAAAACCTTCAAATTCTGAAAGGGGACTGGGTATACTTTCTTTAGGACTATATAGCACTATTGTCATTAGAAGGCCTAGGAAGTCTAGATAAAGAGCCTAAAGTAAGCCATACTTTTGGCAGTAAGAACACTTTACTAGCACAAGAGTATTAGGTTAGTCTACCCCCACAGAGAAGATGAGGGCATCAATCAGATTCTCACAGCTTAAATAAAAGAAGCTAGCCTCAAAAGGTTATATATATATATATATATATATATATATATACATATATACACACACACATATGTATGTATATACATATATATGATTCCTTATATGATATTCTCAGAAAGAAATTATAGGGAAAAGAAGAGATCAATAATTAGGAAGTGTTAGGTCTGACATAAGGGGAACACTTAGGAAATTTTTGGAGTGATGAAAATTGTTAAGTACTCTGTTGGTGATAGTGAATGCATGCAAACATTAAAATTCTTCTAACTATGGCCGGGTGTGGTGGCTCACGCCTGTAATCCCAGCACTTTGGGAGGCTGAGGCGGGAGGGTCACCTGAGGTCAGGAGTTTGAGACCAGCCCGGCCAACATGGTGAAACCCCGTCTTATAATAATAATTAAAAAAATTCTTATAACTGTACACCAAAAATGTTTATTTCAATATATGTAAATTTAAATATCTTGAAAAATATAAATGTTATCATAGCTTGATGACACTAATCTATTTTCATGTGTACAAGAAGGCTTCTAGTGATTCTGATGCCAGTGAGCACCCAACTCCATTCTGGGAAATATTACGCATAGCTATTAAAGTTGATCTAAGTTTCCATGTTCTGATTCTACATTCTCCAAATATTTATATGATGGAAAAGGGATGGGAAGTTCAATTTTGGAAAATGGGAATTCTTAGGTACTTATGAGACATTCAAGTGGGGGATACTCAACAGTTAGTTGTATACAGGGATCTTAAGGTTAAGAACAGGGCTGGGAAAATAGTCATTGGCATAGGGATGATGGAGTCGTGGAAGTAGATGAGATTTGTCTTGGGAAATGTACACAGCAAGAGGAGCAAAGACCTTTGGTGAATAATGATGTTTAAAGACTCCATAGAGAGACTAGCTCATAATGGTATGTAGAGAAGGGGTAGGACCTACCAGATGGTAGGACAGTTTGTTGTCACAGAACTCAGGGAAGACAGAAGACCAGCTCTATGGTACAATGATCACGTTAAAAAAACAACAACAAACAAACAAAAAACCCAAACTATTAGAAATGAAGAATGAATGGTACATGAGGAACTGAAGACAGTGAGTGCAGAAAAATCTCCAGGGGATTCCTCTAAGGATTGAGAATACGACTCTAGAATGAAACTCTGGGATTTGAACTGAGGTTCTGTCACTTATTAGCTGTGTAACCTGGGGTTGTTATGCCTCTTTTAGCTCTGTTTCTTCATCTGTACAATTGCATCAGTAGTATTTATTCCATGAAGTTGTAAAGTCAAAATCTCTAAGATCTGTGAGGAGACCAACAGTGAAGCTTAAATGAATTAATGACATAAAGCTCTGAGAACAAGTGGCAGAAAGTAAGCATTATGTGTTAGATGATGATGATAAGAATATTATCACCACCACTACCATCATCATCCTTTTTAAGAAGTTTTAGGCCGGGTGCGGTGGCTCAAGCCTGTAATCCCAGCACTTTGGGAGGCAGGTGGATCACTAGATCAAGAGATCAAGACCATCCTGGTCAACACGGTGAAACCCCATCTCTACTAAAAATACAAAACATTAGCTGGGCACGGTGGCATGTGCCTGTAATCCCAGCTACTCAGGAGGTTGAGGCAGGAGAATTGCCTGAACCCAGGAGGTGGAGGTTGTGGTGAGCCAAGATCGCGCCATTGCACTCCAGCCTGGGTAACAAGAGTGAAAACTCTGTCTCAAAAAAAAGAAAAAAGTTTTAGGCTAGGTATGGTGGCTCACGCCTGTAATTTCAGCACTTTGGGAGGCCAACGCAGGCAGATCATCTGAGGATGGGAGTTCAAGGCTAGCCTGACCAACATGGTGAAACCCCATCTCTACTATAAATACACAATTAGGTGGGCGTGGTGGCACATGCCTGTAATCCCAGCTACTTGGGAGGCTGAGGCAGGAGAATCGCTTGAACCCAGAGATGGAGGTTACGGTGAGCCGAGACTGCACCACTGCACTCTAGCCTGGGCAACAAGAGGGAAACACTCTCTCTCAAAAAAATATAAATAAAAAATAAATAAAAAAGAAGCTTGATTGTGAAGGGAAAGATTCACAGGGCAGTATTGGGGGGAATGTGGGGTTGAAAAAAGATTTTATTTTGCCCCCCCCAGAAAAGAGACCTAAGCCTGATGAAATACTCATAAGAAGAAAGTAGAAAAGAAGAGGTTTAAAGAAGTGAAGAAGAATTGAAACCCTCCCATTTAAAGGACTACCTTTAGACAAAAGCAAGGATACTTCTTCTTCTTTTTTTTTTTTTTTGTTTGAGATGGAGTCTCGCTCTACAGCCAGGCAGGGGTGCAGTGTCGTGATCTTGGCTCACTGCAACCTCCAATTCCCAGGTTCAAGTGATTCTCCTGCCTCAGCCTCCCAAGTAGCTGGGATTACAGGCGTGTTCCCCCACACCCACCTAATCTTTGTACTTTCAGTAGAGACGAGGTTTCACCATATTGGCCAGGATGGTCTAGATCTCCTGACCTTGTGATCTGCCTGACTCAGTCTCCCAAAGTGCTGGGATCACAGGCGTGAGCCACCGCGCCCAGCCAAAAGCATGGGTATTTCATCCAAAGTAACAGCAAAGGAAGCAATGAGGAATGGAAATACAGTACACAGTTTCTAGGTAAGGACAACACAGGAAATTGAGTATGTACCTGACAATTACTATTCTCACTAAAAAGCAGAAGGTAAGGTCAAAGTCATTAATATCTCCAAGGAAGCCAACAGGAAAGGAAGACAGAAGCTCTGTAGGCCCAAAATACTTCACATTTACTGGCACTTAATGTCCAGAAACTCTGCTAAGTACTTAATGACCAGGCTCCTTCAATCCCCACAATGCTATATGGTAGATGCTACTGTTCTGTTATTATTACTGCCTCACCATTCACACAAGATAAAGAGGCTATACCAATATCAGCTTGGCAGTAGAGACCCCCACCCAGGTGGCCCTGAAGGAATTAAGAAGCACATAGCCAGATAGAAATGCAAAGTGAGACTATTGGAGGCCAACAGTCTTCTGAGCTGACAGCATTCCGGGCTGAGGCCTTCCAGCAGATTCTGACCCACGTATTTATTCTCTCTGAACAGGTGATTATTATTAACAAACAGGCGTTCTGTGTTTTCTCACAGACCCAAGATAAAGTAGGCAACCGGTGCCTGCTTACCACTGATCAAAGACAAACTAGAAAGTATTCTCCACGAGGGAGCCATGGGGGCAGGGTCACATATCCCGTGCTTAAAGAACTGTTTTAACCAGTGTTTGATATACATATACTGTTTTGCTACTTTAGAATACCCCAAGTAGTTTTCCACTTGCGGGGGTGCGGTGGGGGGGGTGGCCAGGTTTTTCTTGCCACTGTTCTCAACAAATGATATAATGTATCATACACATTAGGACATGTCCCAATAGGGCTTAAAGAAGGTGCTTAAAGTCACAAAACTAGAAAATGGTGAAACTGGGATTAGAACCCAAGTCAATTACTTGAATGTTTGAGCTACATTGTACTGCCATAGGTCTACTGCCTCTTTCTCTAATATTACCTTCTCTCATTCTTAGACACACTTAGAAAATTCCCTTTCCACAGTGTCGAAAAGAAAAACACAGTGAGAGATAAGGATACAGAATCACAAACTGATTCAATGCTCTCATTAAACTAAGATGGTTAAAAAAATTTTCTGAATGTCTTTAAAAGGAAATGCACTCTATTTTTAACAGTCCCCTCCAGAGACTTCACATTAAGTGCCTGATCTCTGACAGCATTTATAAGATCTGCAATATAACCTTTAATTTAGGAAGTCAATCAAGATAGGAGAAAAAAAAAATAAGTTTCAAGTTACTATTTTCCTTTCAGTTGGTATTAAGTGCAAAGCTACCACAATCTCAGAAGTTTGAAAAAATTCATTTCCAAGTGCAGATAGATGAAATGGAAGTATATCATAAACATCAAGCATACCTTGATATCATTGTCTATTCCACCAGAAATAATCTGATCACTTGTGTCATTGAAGGTCACAGCTAACACCTGGTATGTGTTCTGAAATGTCTGGATAGCTGCTTTCTTCCGTATGTCCCAAAGCTGAAGCAAAGGACGAGAATCTATCAGTAACATCATTCTAAGAAGTAACTGCGCAATACAAATATCCCTAAGTATGAGGACTTTGTGGACACATCTATAATTGGGATCCCATTTCACAAACTCCTTATATCCTAACAACACACATGGTAAGCAGTGTCTTCAATTTTGCCAAGATATTTGAAGGCAAATAACAACTTTGGTTATATTTTCAGACTCTTTTGTTAAAGTGAATAAACAGTTAAATCAACATACTCTTAGAATGGAATTCCTCTAAAGTCTTAGTTCATATATTTTTTAGGACAACAAGGGTATCAGATAGTTTCTTCAACTGTAGATACTAACTCATTAGTGGGCTACAATCCACATTTAAAAAAATAGGGTATGTCAGTGAAAATAGTATAATAAACAATGACAAAAGCTTGTCCCTCCACAAAAGCAGCAAATTAACCAGCAAAAATCTGTCAGAATCAACTGTTGGAACTCCAGAAACTAATCAAAAGTTTAAAATAACCAGGCAAACCTTTAATGAGGAAAAAGGGAAACAAAAAACTACCTGAGTCCCAGTAAAAGGGCTTTGTAGTGTTTTAACTTACGCTGGCTCTGTCTCCTGCTCAGCAATGGCTTTGATGATAACCCACATTCCTAGGTGGTTTCCTAGTACTGAAGAAGCTTATTTCTTATTGTTAAAGAATAAACAATAAAAATTGTTTATTTTTACCTATCTGGTGGCTCTCTGAAGGATGAGCTCAAAGGACTTGCATTTATTTTGCCTAACTTGGAACTTTCCTTGAAAACATTTAAAAAAAAAGGACATTATTAGCCTCTGGTGCCTGGGGGCAAGGGAAAACAGTTGGGGAAAAAACTACAAACCAAAAACCTGGGGAGGAAGGGCTGGGGAAGAAGACAATATGGGGAATAAGAGCTTTGAAAAGCACTAACATATTCCTGGCTGGCTATCTATTTATATACCTATCTGGAAACAGTCTCCCTCAGTCTCCCTCTGTCGGTGTGATCTCGGCTCATCGCAACCTCTGCCTCACTGGGCTCAAGCGATTCTCATGTCTCAGCCTCCTAAGCAGCTGGGATTACAGGTGTGTGCCACTATGCCTGGCATATTTTTGTATTTTTAGTAGAGACAGGGTTTTGCCATGTTGACCAGGCTGGTCTCAAACTCCAGGCCTCATGTCATCTGTCCGCCTCCCCCTCCCAAAGTGCTAAGGTTTCAGGCATGAGCCACCATGCCCAGCCTATCCCTGGCAATCTAGACCACTTGCATGCCCAGGGCTGGGCACATGTTTAGAAAAGACCTGAGAAGGCCCTAAGCTCTCTAGTTGACCTTCAGGCTCTGCATAAGCAGGAAGTGAAACTGCATGACAAGGAGTTGAAGGCAGCCTCCAACATACAAAAAAACCAGTCTGCAAAGACTGGGAGAGTTTTTGTTCTTGTTATTGTAGGTAATTAAGGAAACTTCTGTCATTCACTAGCTGACCACTAAGCGAATGAAAAAAAGAATTCAGTGGTCAAAGGACAAAGAATGCAAACTTTACAAAACTAGTTCAAAAAAGTCACTTAACAGGCCAAGTGTGATGGCTCATGCCTGTAATTCCAGCATTTTGGGAGGCCGAGGTGGGTGGGTCACTTGACGTCAGAAGTTCGAGACCAGCCTGGACAACATGGTAAAACCCCGTTTCTACTAAAAATACAAAAATTAGCTGGGCATGGTGATGTGCACCTGTAACCCCAGCTACTCAAGAAGCTCAAGGACAAGAATCACTTGAACCCCAGGAGGTGGAGGTTGCAGTGAGCCGAGGTTGCACCACTGCACTCCAACCTGAGTTACAGAGTGAGACCTCATCTCAAAAACAAACAAATCAACCAACCAACCAACCAACCCGCCCCGCCCCACAAAAAGTCACTAAACAAACAACTACAACAAGCAGCTCTGGGGAATACCTAATTTCCAGAGTTGCCACACTATATTTAAATGCCTAGTTTTCAACAAAATATTATAAGGCATGCAAAGAAGCAAGTAACTATGGTCCATATATAAGGAAAAAATAGTCTTCTCAACAAATTGTGTTGAGACAACTGGCTACCACATACCAAAGAATGAAGGTAAGCCCCTGCCTCACATGATATGCAAAAATTCAACATGGATCAAGGACCTAAATGTAAGACCTAAAACTATAAAATTATTAGAAGGCTGGGTGCAGTGGCTTATGCCTGTAATCCCAGCACTTTGGGAGGCCAAGGAAGAAGGATGGCTCTAGCCCGGGAGTTAGCAACCAGCCTGAACAACATGGTGATTCCTCATCTCTACAAAATAAAAACAAAAAGTTGGGTGTGGTGGTATATGCTTGTAGTCTCAGCTACTTGGGAGGGCTGAGATGGGAAAATCGCTTGAGCCAGGAGGGTTGAGGCTGCAGTGAGCTTGATTTCGGCTCTGTATTCCAGCCTGGGTGAGAGTGAGACCCTG